CGGCAATGTCTGTTGCCCTTTCCCTATCCATCAATGCTGTAACCTCATCATAGAAGGCCACCAAATTAGTCAGGCAGAATTTGCCCTTAGCGAAGCCATGTTGGCTGTCACCAATCACCTCCTTATTTTCTATGTGCCTTAGCATAGTTGCCAAGATGATCTGCTCCATGATCTTGCCAGGCACAGAGGTGAAACTGACTGGCCTGTAGTTTCCTGGGTCTTTTTTTTTTCCCTTTTTAACGATGGGGGCTCTATTTCCCCTTTCCTAGTCAGTGAGCACTTCACCAGATTGCCACGACTTCTGAAATATGATGGATAGTGGCTTAGCAACTTCATCAGCCAGTTCCCTCAGGACCCGCAGATGCACCTCATCAGGTCCATGGACTTGTCCACCTTCAGGTTCTTTAGATGGTCTTGAACCTGATCTCCTCCTACAGTGGTGTTGTGGTTTAGGCCGATCCGGCAACTAACCTCCACACAGCTGCTCTCTCACTCCTTCCCTTGTGAAGTGGAGAGGAGAAAAAAAAAATATAATAAAAGGGCTGAGGGTCGAGACAAGAATAGAGAAGGAGCACCCACCAACCGTGGTCCCAGGCAAAACAAACTCGGCTTTCTCAAAGCAAAGCAATTTATTAACGGTTACTTAAAAGGACAAAGCGAAACAAAACCGATTACTTGAGAGGATAAAAAGAAACAAAGCCAGATCTTAAAAACAAAAACTTCCCCCTGCTTTCCTTTTCTTCCCGGCTCTACCTTCTCCCCCAGCAGTGCAGGGGGACAGGGAATGGGGGAATGCAGGTCATTTCATCCCATGTTGTTCCTGCCGCTCCTTTACTTAAAGGAGGAGGAGTCCTTACACTCTTTTTCCCTTGCTCCAGTGGGTCCCCTACTCACGAGGAAAATCCACAAACTTCTCCAGCGTGAGTCCTACCCACAGGATGCAATCCTTCCCCATCAGATCACTCCAGTGCAGGCTTTACCACAGTCTCGGATTCTTAGGGAGTTATTGCCACTCACTCCGGCATGGGTCATCACACGAACTCTAGATGTGTCTTTACCTTGTCGTGCGTCCCGTGCTCCATGACCGTTCTCAGGCTCAGGCATCTCTTCTCCAACGTGGCTTCTCCACGGGCTGCGAGTGGGTCTCTGCTCCACCGAGTCTGTCCTGGCTGCAGGGGGGCTGCCTGCTGTCTCACCACCAGTTGCAGGGGAAACAGCTCCGCACACCTCCTCCCGCTCCATCTTCACTGACCTGGTGTCGGTGTGGCCATTTCTCTCAGATCTTAGTCCTCTCTGGGTGAACTCAGCCCAGCGGGCACCCGGGGAGCAGGGCGCGCCCCGAGTTCCCCTGGCAGCTCCGCCGCAGCCATCCTCAGCGGGTGGCGCCACCCCGGTGCAGGCAAGTGCTCAGCCGGAAGCTGGGGAGCAGGGGCAGTGCCCTCCTGCCTTCTCTCCTCGCTCCTTGGCAAAGCACTATTTCTGGTTCCTTTGTCCCAACTTAAATAGGGCAATTCACATAGGTGCCGATTAGCTTAACCCCGAGGGGAATGGGAGTCCGATCTGGTGGCCAGAACTGGGTCTGACCCGGTTCCAAAACCAGGGAAGTAACAGGGAGCAAATCCCCTCTCCTGCCACAAGAATCCTTTACATCAAACCATCACAAGTGGGCGGTTCTTCCTTCTCCCAGTACCTGCTTTTGCCTTATGTGATTTGAGCTGTGCAGCTGGAGGTCTTGCCAGTGAAGACTGAGGCAAAGAAGTCATTGAGAACCTCAGCCTTCTCCATATCCCGC